TGCTACTTTCCTCGGTCTTTCCCTGTTACATTTGGTGCAATTTAAACAAATTGTTAAAGTAAATATATGTCTACTCACCAAACGTTGATTAGAGGGAAAACTCTAAGGTTTCCTCGGAGTTTCTTAAGCCAAAATGTAACTCATCCAATTCGAGTAGTTACGAAATACCAGGATTTTTATCTTTGTGGTATATGGTTGCATCATCACAATTCACGAGGTTTTCACGTGCGATTCTACTCAGTGAAACAGTGTTTAACTCTGACAACTTATTTCTTCATGTTTTAAAAGCTATTGCTTCTTAACAGACAAGAGCCTTTTTTAAGGCATTGGTTACAAAACAAAACAGCTCTTCATACGTTCAAGTCACTATTACTATTGTAAAAAGCCAATCTGCATGAGATGTACAGTCACACAACTAGCACGTGAAAGTGTTGGACTTTGCCCCCTTTCGTGGTTCGTACGTGAGGGAATTCGAGTTATCACACAGTAATCGAGTAAACAGAATTATAAAAATAACTCATGCACACAATTTGCACGTGAAGATGTTGGTCTTTGACCCTTTTACAATTCGTAATTTAAAAAAAACGCAAATTGTTTACTACAAAATTTTCTCAAACGATTTTAAGAAATCACCTCGGCCTCATTACAACAGCTGCAATTAAATTATGTTTCATGCAACGTCAAGGTTGATAGCCTAACAATTATTAACTTCCAAGAAAATTATCAAACTGCCGAAATATATTTCTGCTCATATCATGTTACTCCACTCAATAAAGCAGTGCCTAATTATTGTGTCAACTAGCTTCTTCCAATTTTATTCCCTAACGCTACTGTTTCTTCTTAAGTTTATACGCATCTTTACTAAATAAAATACGTTTCAATAACTATAATGCTTAGTATGCAGGAAGGATGTATCATGTTGTTCACTTCTTATTCCTTTTTGTTGTTGTTTTGCCGGAACGAAAAAGGTCTGTTGAACTTTGTGAGCGAGAGAATAATATTTCTACAGCTTTTTTACAGGATTAACAATACTCGGTACAGCTTTAAAAAAAATAAGCTGCTTTTCAAACTTCTAAAACCACATTTTATAGGCCGCATACTTTTGAATTAAAGTCCATATCTAAATATCAATTATTGCTTCACTGGAAGAGCTTTGAAAATATATGATCGTTTATACTCTACCTTGAGGCAAGTGAAACACAACTCATAAATACGTGCGTGGTACCGTTCGCGATAGCCGAATTCGGTCAGGAATGTCTTGAAGTATAGCATCCACACTAAAATATGAACCCTTAAACAGCTGCATCACTGTACACAGCGTTTGAATCATGAAGATATTTAATATAATGTTTCCAAACACCTGTAACCGTAATAAAAGACGAACAAATTGTAAAGAATCAAGATGGCGGTCTTAAAGTGCCCTTGTTCGACCTTTAGCAATGTGATTTTGAAGTAGATGCCAAGATCTCATTGGTTCCTTAGCATCAACTCATAGTACCTTCAACCTTATTGGCTCTTGCAACAAACATCCGAACATACAAAGTTACAAAGATACAAAGATACAAAGTTACAAAGATACAAAGCCACAAAGATACATACGCTCACACCACTGACATATGAGCTATTTTTTCAAAATAGCTCAACAATGAAAATACAGCCCGTTCAGATAGTCGCCGTATTGGATGCGAAAGACCCTGGGCCCGAGTTCGTCACTCTGCTTTCCAGGCCATCTCGTTCATAATAATGTAGTGCCCAGTCTTTTGAAATTGATTTGTGTTTTGGGAAATTGATTTGTGTTTCGGGAAATTGATTTGTGTTTTGGAAAACATATTTGTGTTTTGGGAAATTAATTTGTGTTTTGGAAAACATATTTGTGTTTTGGGAAATTAATTTGTGTTTTGGGAAACTGACTTGTGTTTTTGGAAACTGATTTGTGTTTTGGGAAATTGATTTGTGTTTTGGGAAATTGATTTGTGTTTGAGCCTTTTGGGCCACCGTACTATTCACCCGTTTGATGTTAACGAAGAGCGGTTTCACGTTCCTGGATGTCTAACAAGACTTCTTAAGGGAATAATCACAGGTGATCCAGTTCCACCTCCCACCTTTCGCGTTCAGTCGCTGATAAAATCCTTCAGCCAGGACATTGTTTACGCAGTAACAAATGGCAAGATAAAGCCACCAGAGCAGGTTCTCTTATCCTCTGGAGTGAAAACCCTGACCGGAAATGTGGAGCTTATCCAGATTTTAAACCGTCTTGGACATGGGGTGTCGTACTCCCAGTTAGAAGAAAATGACACTGCCCTATGCTTAGAGAAAATGGCAGCTTCAATTAACGAGTCAGCCATCCTTCCCGACACAATTCGCCCCAATTTGTTCACTAATTTGGCATATGGGATAATGTCGATCGCCTTGAAGAGACTCTTACAGGGGGAGGAACAAGCCACCGAGTAAATGGCATAGTAGTCCAGCCAAACGTTTATGGTCCTTGCCTTCCTAAACCATCTCTACCTGCAATCAGAAAGCAAAAGCAAAGAAGCATCTCGCAGGAAGTTCCATCCCTTTGTACGTATATATCGGGAGAAAGAGTGGGGCCACTGCAAACACCACCACCAAGGGAAAATGCTCAACACAAAGCTGAAGCAGACCTTGCTTTGAAGAAGAGCTTCATATGGTAACTTGCACGAGACATCGGTCATAATGGCGAGAGACAAAAGACACCAAGTTGGACAGGTTTTCAATCAATCAATCAATAAACTTTATTTACCCTCGAATTTACAGTGTAGCACTCAAGTATCTTCGAGCCAACTACATTAATATATAATTATAATAAAAAGTTAATGCTATATAACAAATAAGATAACTAACTACCTAGACAACTAACTTGCGAATTAATAAATAATTATAATAAAAAGTTAATTCTATGTAACAAATAAGATAACTAACTACCTAGACAACTAACTTGCAAATTATCTTGATGTAGAAAGGTTTGCAGTTCCTGCCCTTTTAAGTAAATTATTGTTCACAGTAGATATCAGTCGTCGAAAAGACGTAAAATCAGAAATAGTGCGGTGTTGGTCAGGAAGAGACTCCAAAATGTTGCTGCCAAGTAACTAAAGGAATTGATACCATAAGAAGTGGTCAATGGTTTAGGTAAACAGAGCATATTATGTCCTCTTAAAAAATAGGTGCTAGAGCGTAAGCGAAACATATTTTTTAAATATCTTGGATAATCAGAAAAATGAAGACATTTAAAAATAGTAAGAATCATGTTTTGTAAACGCTTGTCCTTAAGGTTTGCAGTTCCTGCCTTTTTAAGTAAATTATTGTACTCAGAGTTAAAAGGTTTTAACATCGATCAAGACACGAAATAATGTTAATTCACCCCAAGATGTCGTGGGCTACCTACCACAATAAATGCCCCTGCAGCTGAGATGACGACTGTTAAGGAGACCTTACGTCGGTCAGACGAAATCACAAAGATACTGGATTTGTCGCTATTGTGGTAGTCATGGATCAAGCATTGTTCGCTAAGGCAGCTGAAGTCACATGGAAAGAACATAATAGATATGGAAGTATCATATTACGACTTGGAACATTCCACACAATATGCAACTTGCTGTCAATCATCGGTAAACGCTTTCAAGACGCCGGGCTACGAAATCTTTGTGTTGAAGTCGGTATTAAGGCTGAGCGATCTGCTTCAAGTGCACTAGAAGAAAAAATGTACAACAGAGCAGTAAGAATACACAAGTGTGTATACGAAGCCTTAAACCGTTAAATATCAGGGGCACCCAACGAGGACATAGTTCAAAACCACTTAACATAGCATTGTTGAACGTATTTTAGTATTCAAACGGTAGATATAGGCATATTTTTATCTCCTAAAAACTTTTCATCTGTTCGGATTTCCTAGCTGAAAGTCTCGTGATCCGAAAATTATAGGGATAAAAACTTACCTTCTCGAAAATTTCAGCCAGGAAAAGGCTCCTGAAAATTCTAGGTGGCCTTTTTTAGGGTCGAAATCCGTTAAAAATGGGTAATTATACCATTTTGTAGATGTTCGAAAATCCTAGGAGAGGCAGGCAAGCAAGAAATTTTCCAACAAATGCTCCGAAAATTCTAGATCTCAAATCGTCTTCCGAACAGATATTTTCCCGAAAATTGCCGTTGGGTGCCCCTGAAATATGGCACCAGTTTGAGCCTTGGGTTGCAAGCAACCATCCCACCATGTCCTCAGTCGTGAGCACAGTGCAAGAAAGCAACACTGACTTAACAGCAGGCTTAAACCAACAGAAGCACGATGAAGTCTTAAACAGTCAAGCTCTAAAGCAAGTGTATGAACTATGGACACTGTTTCTCGACTTTCTCCGCTGTAACAACGACAACTGTCCGCTTTTTGGATGTCATTATATACAGTTAGTAGAGGTTCTTTTTGCTTTAATCCTCGCTTCTCGAGAGGGCAACTGGCACCTTCACCTCCACGCTATTCGTAAGATGATACCTTGGTGCTTTGCTTGCGACAAGGTAAATTATGCCAGGTATCTGCCAGCCTATTAAGCTCAGATGATAAGTCTGGAGAAAGAGCACCCTGATGTTTATCAACAGTTTATGGATGGCCACTTTACTGTACAGCTAAAGATGAAAGGTCATTTAGCCGTATTCCTGTCGATCAAACAACTGATTAAGTAACTGTAAACAAGGACACAAAGAAACCAGGAGGCGTGACCAATTACTGTTTAAAGACAAGTGCCGTAAACAGATACTATATGACGGCAGAATACAGGTGTTCTTTTCTCGGACAGCTAAGGGACTTTGTTCAAATAAAAAGATCTTCGGCTCACCATGACGACCTGCATGAGCCAAGAATTGAGAAGGATTAAAATTGAGTAACGTCCATTCAAAGCCTAATAGAAAGCTGGAACAACCCATTCGACCAAAGTCAAGAACTGTCAAGCATATCAACCGCTCAAAAAGTGCCTTTAGATGTTGCCAATGATTTGATGCGAGCTCGGCAAGTTGGAGAGAAGGCATACCAACAGTTTAAGACAGAAAGGATTGAAAGTTCAACCCCGAAAACAAAATTTCACGATCCTCTGAAACTAACCAAGCTGAAGACGTTCTCTTCCCTCGGTAAACAGAAGACCGTCAACTCAAATGGGCGTGCTCTTATCTTAAAGGCCGACAGAAGTGTCTTTAGAAGAATGATGATAATAGGTCAGAGTAGAAAGATTGAAGTGCGAGAACTGCTTTGCCACAGTCTTGGCCCTTTGCCATGGGCATTGGCCACACCAGAGCGTTTCCCTAGGAAGACCAATAAAGCAAATTTTGGAGAGGACCTGAGGTTTCAGGTTGCAAGCATAACGGCCTCACAAATTGTACGACAACGGAGGAAGTTCCTTGTTCAAGTCCGAAACAGGACAAGCCTCATCAAATTTTTGGCAGAAGAAAGGAAGAGACAACAATACAGAGAGAAACTTAATGGAAAGACCTTGTACGTGACCCGTGAATGTCAGTGTTGGAAGATTACTGAAGAGGGAAGTGAAGAAGTACCTGAGCTTATCAGTTGCCAGGAAGAAGCCGATACACGCCTTGTACTTCACGCTAAACATGCCTTCGGACGATGGTTATGCTGCAGTTATAGTTAACTCAGAATATGCTGACGTGTTCATCCTACTTGTAGCATTTTGCAGATCTATCGACGCCAAACTTTATCAAAGATGCGGAACTCATACGCGTACAAAGCTGGTAGATATAGGCAAGGTGGCTCTAGCTTTGGGTGAGAGGCTGTGCAGAGGACTTATCGGACTTCACGCGTTCACGGGATGTGACACCGTTAGTGCCTTTTCCGGCAAGGGAAAACTCAGCGCATTTAAGCTAATGAAAGCAAGGGAAGACGTTAGAGAAGCGTACATCAAGTTAGGAGAAGCATGGAATCTGTCCGATGAATTGTTGGACGCATTAGAGAAGGTTACCTGCTCTCTTTACACTCCCAGCACCGCAACCGCGAGTAATATCAACGATGTCAGATACAACTTGTTCTGCGCTAAGAACGGTGAAATCGAATCTCACTTGCTGCCCCCTTGCAAGGATTGCCTCAGTAAGCACGCCATGCGGGCAAATTATCAAGCATGTATTTGGCGAAGAAGTCTTGAAAGGAATCCGGTCATTCCTAGTCCAGTGGGTATGGGCTGGAAGATGGAAACACTTGCTGATTCTCAGGTTCTTAGTATTGACTGGATGGAAAAGAAACCTGCACCAGAGGCTGTGCTAGAACTCCTGGTTTGTAAATATAAATGCAAACGATCTTGCAACTCTCAATCATGTCCTTGTGTAGCAAATGGTCTAAAGTGTACAGATATTTGCACTCTATCGAAATGTGAAAATCAAGTGGACGCTGATGACGAAATGGAAGTGGGTAGTTCAGACGTTGACAATGACCCCGAGGAGGAGTGTAAATTCACTTGAGTGACAAACTTGGAGTATTTATAAGATGTTGTATAAGACATTTTCCTGTGTATGTAACTCAGAAATTTGAATTGCTTAAGTGGAAATGCTGAGAACATACTGGCAAAGAATACGTAAATAACCACCTTAGCTCAAAACGCCAGTTTAATCAAAGTAAAAAACTACAAGACTCAGTTGACTATGAAATTAACGAGTTTGGCCCTATTTTCCGTTTAGGAGACTGGGATCAAGTTCTAATTTTCCATGTCCAAAGGATGTTTTCACATGTGCACTAAAAAAATAAATACAGTCTTTTTTCAGATAAAAAGTTTTGAACGAAGCAGATTCCAACGTTAAAGCAACTCAACTGGGTAGAAAAGAAAGGACGTTCTGTCTTTGTACATATCACGTGACTGAACACGTGATCATTCAAACTGTAATGTCCAACAGTCATCACAATCTGCAATGGATGGACTTAATCTTCTAAGGCTCTCCTCTTGCATTCTGAAGCATTTTTGTGAATTTTGCGAAATCTCTAATCACATGAAATCATTTAAGACATCAAAAATAGCATTAAAGGGGATGGGAGAGGTTGTTAGTTAAGGCGCGCCTCCTTCCTTAAAGCTGTGAGTTAAACTTTGCTATCAGACTGCAACATGAACTACAGACCTAGACCTCCATGATTAGGGATATAAGACTGTCCCCCCGAGTGGTACCGGCAAGCTCATTTTTGGTTCCTGGCTCATGCACTATAGCAGACAAATTTGGAATTTTCTTTGAAACATCCTAACTAAAAATTGTATGGTGACAATCGTTTTTTAACATTCACCCACGCTATAAATTATTTTACCCTTTTTAGTCCGTCAAATCTTTTATTAGTTATTGAAAGGATGATGGCGTTACAAAAAAATGATTGACAAGAAAAACACATCTTCGTTTATTTAAGCGAGTTTGTCCAGTTTTTTAACCCGAGACAAATTTCATTCGCGGTGCCTTTGAAGATTGTTCCGTCTCGGACAAAATTTGTAAAATCGCGAGAAACCATCTGCTTTTGTTATTATACAGTGTATTCTTAAAAATAGAAAAGCATATAGCACAATTTTAAAGAACAGCTGAATTTCGTGGTTTATACTTTCAGTTTCTCTAAAGTTTTACTTGTGGCGTTTTATTACCAGGAGATGGCAAGTCCTAAGGATAAGACTACACAGACGACAGACAAGACAGCAGAGACAGAGATGAAAGAGGTGAGTGGTATAGTTGACAAATGTCACGGTAACAGACTGTATGGCTAATTTTTTGGCGTCGCGGGGATCGAGGGGGAGGTGTCAAGAAAAAAATGTGAAAGAGTTTTAAAAAAGTCCCCCCGAAAAATAAAAAGTTGATAAATAAATAGAATTAGTTGTCTATTTTGCTAATTTTAGCTTGAAGAGGGATAACTTTATGTAATAACGTTAATCATTTCAGTTTGAGTTTACAGATGTATTTCTTAATTTTTCCTGTTGACTACCATCTCCCGAAAGCGACGACTTAATCGTGCACTAAGGGTGATCGCTTTCGAGAGAGTTGGCTACATGGTCTATGGGCGGGGATTTATTTTCTGTCCAAAACAGGGTATTTAATTTCGTGCGTGTCTCTCCTAAATATAAACAGGGTATTGCCTGCACGATTGATTGATTTGCTTGATAAAATTTCTTAGTACTCCAAAGATACAAAAGCAATAACTATAACCTGAATTTGGAATTTGGAACTTTAACCTTGAATGCAAACACGACAAACACAAAACAGCTTTGCGGGCACAAAAAGGTATCGGGACTTTCGAGAAACGGGCCCCTTGTTCGAAGAAAACATGACCATGCATGGTCACTCGTAGAAATAAGCTGTGTAACGCCGTCTCTTTCCATCTGTACAACATAAGACGTATTAGAAAGTATCTTACAGGCGAAACCACTCAGTTCCTTGTTTATGCCATCGTTATAGGTCGCGCAGACTATTGCAATAGTTTGCTCTGCAATACTCCTGCAAAACACATTGCTAAGATTCAGCGCATATAGAGTTGTGCGGCCCGATTAATCTGTCAAACACTTAAATTTGACCACATAACACCTATCTTAATTTGTCTATATTGGCTTCCAGTTTGTTGTAGAATTGAGTATAAAATATTGATCCTAAATTCTAAGGCAATCTATGGTGTTGCACCTTTCTATATTTGTAACTTAATGAAGATTAAAGAACGGACACGATATAACCTGCGTTCGAGCAATTAAGGAACTGTTGGTAGAGCCACCATTGGTTAAGACCAAGAAAACTCTTAGAGATAAATCATTCGAAGTAGCAGCGCCCTGATTATGGAATACATTATCCTCAGGAATAAGAGCAATTAGAGGTTACGATCTTTTCAAAGGAGCAATTAAGACGTACTTGTTCAAGAAAACATTTGCTTGTAATACCTAGGTATCCAGAACTTTACGAAGGATTCTGGCCGTACCCAATAAGCACGCTCTACGCAATGATTCCAAGCGACATGTGACACCAATCTCCGCTAACCACTTTTCTATATCTTTCGAGATTGTTTCTAATGCACCAATTATGATTGGCACCACAGTTACTCTGCGCAATTTCCAGATCCGTTTTAACTCCCGCCTCAGGTCTTGGTAGTTCTCAATTTTCTCTTTCCATTTGTCTTTCACTCGGATGCCAAACGGACAAGGAACATCAATAATCAGACATTTGCCGTTCCATCTTATCCAGTACCTCAATGTCAGGCTTGTCATGTTCAATCTTGTTGTCAGTCTGAATTTTGAAGTCCCACAGCAGCTTGTTATTAGTGGATTCATACACTGGTTTCGGCTCATGACTGCAACAATTTTCATCCCTTTAAAAACCCAGCTTTCCACATAGGTTCCAATGAATCACCTGCGCCACCTTGTCTTGTCTCCAACATCGATATTGCTTTGGAGCAAGTTTCCTACATTCCGATACAATATAGCTAACTGACGTCTCATCGCCTTCTCCACACATTCTCAGCACTTTGTAGACACATCTTGCCTGTCGATTATCCTCTTGATACTCATAGTTCTTTAATGCTTGGTCTTGTGCTGCCATAATCATACCCTCCGTCTCCTTCTTTAGTCTGCCTTTTTTCAACCACTCCCACGTTTTTTTATCTCTTACTTCCGCTGTGCTCCTTCAAAACTACCCATGAAGTTGTTTCTCTTGGAGCACTCTAATTTTTTTCTTTTTTGCTGTAACGATGCGGCTTCACAAGTTTTAGGACAACATCTTAGAATTTATTCCTTGTACACTGCCTCCAACAGGGGGTCGTTACAACTCTCAACATACCGGCTAAGACTATTGATCTCACTATTTACAGAGTCCTCAACACTCATTAATCCTGTACCAGCCTCTGATCTTTAAAAGTAAATCCTGTCAACATCAGCCTGCGGATGCAAAGCATGATTATGTAGAGTCATCAATTTGCGCGTTTTTCTATCCATAATTTGTAGCTTTTCTTTCGTTCACTCCACTATTCCTGTCGACGTACACGAAGGAAGTATTC